TAAAATCACTTTTTCTGTTTTGTTTTGTTTTGAGATGGAGTCTTATTTATTGCCCAGGCTACTCACAAACTCACTTGTGATCCTTCTGCCTGGGCATCACAGTTAGCTGGAATTACCGATTGGCACTACCACGCCCAATTTAACAAAAATTCTTAAAAGATATGAAAAAACCCAGTGTTTAAATAACATACATAACCTTAGCTGACTTGATTATATAAAACAGAAGCATATAGGAATTCTCTCATGGGAAGAAAAAAATCCATCAAGGGACATTATAACATTACTACTCATCAACTGTTTCGGGATCATATAAGTTTGTTGCTATAAATACAAAATAATCTATTTGAATTCTCTGTTAATGGCAGATTACAAAACTACATAAAAACTCATAGTATCCTAATAGGTAAAAACCTCAGGTAATATTTCTGCATCAAAAGTAATCTAGGAAGAAAGCACAAAAACAACTCTCAAAGCATTCCAACATTAAATCCTGACTTCCTTCAACATCAGCCCCAGCAGACTAAGGAGAACAAGCAGAGGAGTCAGCACAGGAAGAATATGTGCCAGGTGCTTCCCAGCATCTTAGAAGTGCAAATTCAGCAGGTAACATAAAACTCCCTAACTTGATCTTAAATGCTGCAGTATAAATCTCAATAAATCTCTTGCCTTTAGAATCTGTTTGTAGCCAGCTTCCCAGAATGTCAAAATAATGGCTACAACCAACAATGACTCTTGAGTATTAATAACGCCCCTCTAGGTTAAAAATTTAAAAAGAGAGGCGGGGAAAGAGCCCCTCTACTACTTTTGCTTTTGTTTTTGACAGAACTTTTAATTTAAAACTCAGCAAGAAACAAAACAATGACTGCAAAGACCTAGGTAGAAGTGTAACAGGTTTATTACAAATCAATTTTATTCAGGCTCATACACAGTTAGCTGAAAGTCAGGAAAATTTCGAATTAAAGAAAGTATGTTATTGACAAATAGAGGCCTCATTGCTGAAAAAAAAAACCTATTTTCTCTCATCTACTCTAATATTCAAGTACATTTTGTATAAATATATCTCTGAAGCCTGAGCTAGAGAGATAGTATAGCATGGAGAGGTATTCAAATACTTTTTATCCTGGCAATGCACAACAGGAAAAAAAAATGAAAATCTCAAGGATAGTAACATAAAAATTATGTGCGAGTGCAACAAAAATAAGATAGTGACACAAAATTATTTTCCTTCACTTACTTTTTAAAGTATTAAAATCTTAATTTTAAATGTGGAAAGCCTACACCTTCTATCAGAACTGGTAACCCTGCTGAAGGCATTCTCAATCAAATAAAACCTAAACCTTTGGTATGAGGTCATTAAATTATTCCTAGGGCACCCTTTTACTCTAAAAGCCTCTGTAAGCCATTGAAGTTCTAATTTGAATAATTGCATTCCACCTACATAAATTCCCTCTGTAGTTTCAACTGTATGTAATATCAGTCTTCATTTCCTGAATTAAATTAATGTCATATAATGTGGTGCTTCTTGGAAAAAAAAAAGTTCATCTACTTTCATAGGTAATCTTTCAACAATCAGTAGATGTGATTCATGCTCACCAGAGGGGAATAGGTCAGTATGAATAATCATTAACCAGCAATTTGTGCCAGCATTCATTGTGTCAAGCATTGCAAAAGGGGCATCTCATCCAATAAAATGGAAGCACCTATATAGCTTTTGAAAAATCAAATGTTTCATAAACTGAATCCCATTTTCCATTGAACTGTATCATTAAAAACTTCAGTTTTTTGGGGGGGTGCTGGGGTTATGGCTCAGCAGTAGAACGCTTGCCTAGTACAAGGCACTGGGTTCAACCCCCAGCATAACATAAAAATAAATAAATAAAATAAAGGTATTGTGTCCAACTACAACTAAAAAAGAAAATTAAATAAAACAAAGTTTAAAAAAAAAACTTCAGTTTCATGTATGATTTATCTTCAGCTAGCTGAGATTCCCCATGTTTGATCACCCCTATCTTTCTAGTCAGATACTTAATGAATTATAAATTAATATTGGAAAATCCTAACCTAAGAAAAGAACCAATGAATAGTATTTTAAAAGAAAAGAATTATTTCTCATAAGAAAAAAAAAATCCTGAAAATAAGCTTCCCCTAGTTAATCACTAGCCAAAAGAAATTCTGAAAGATTTAAAGATTTCTTACCTCAAAATTTTTTACACAAAGGGAGTTTCCAGTGTTGCCATGACAGTATTTATTGAATAAACTCAAAGGACTGGAATTACATATACCTTTAAAAGATTTAATCTTGAAATCCTTGGATGTTCTTTAATAATAGGTCTATATGTTGCAGAGTAATCTTTAAGAAAAGTCACTCAAAAGTTACACATATCTGTAATTCCAGATACTCAGGAGGTTTAAGCAGGAAGATCAT